CCCCCAGGCTCTGGGAGAAAGCATTCTTATGGTGACAATCTCTTGCTGTCAGACCAGAATTAGAGGGACATATATTTTAAGTGCTGGGTGGAGGAAGAGGGAGGGGCCCTGTCAGAAAAGGAAGGTAGAAATTATCATTATTATTACTATTAATTTGGTTTTTCGAGACAGGATTTCTCTGTAGTCTTGGCTGTCCTGGATTTTGCTCTGACACAAAGATCTACCTGCCTCTGCCTCCCGAGCACTGGGAATAAGGGTGTGCGCATGCCACCACTGCCTGTGAAAACTGGTTTTTGAGGGGTGTTGAAAACCAAGGAGGAACAGTTTCAAGGTGTAAGGAGTGACAGCTAGGCCACATGTTGTAGATGACAGAAAGGAAAGGATTAAATGTGTTCACCGATATACAACCAAGATCAATCTGATCAAGTTTCAGTGGTGGTGCAAGATTAAGAAGTTGCCCCAGAAGACGGATCATGAAGGGAAGGGAGGCGAAGACCGTCACTTCTCCCCATCCCCATGGAGAAACTGATGCCTGTGTTTTATGTTGAGAGGAAGTTGTCATTTGAGAGTTGATGAGGGTATAGGCAGAAAGAGGAACCAGTGACTCATGGAACAAGGCTCTTGACTCCAACGGGAGTATTGAGGACAGTCACGTGCACACTGCTGAAGCAGAGGGCTTATTTTTCTGACACTGGTCAATTTACCTCCAGAATTTCCTGAAATTTTGAATTGCTCAAATTAAATTATGTTTTCCCTTTCTTTTAAAAAATTATTTATTTTATGTGCATTGGTGTTTTGCCTGCATGTATGTCTGAGTGAGGGTGTCAGATCTTCGAGTTATAGACAGTTGTTAGCTGCCATGTGGGTGCTGAGACTTGAACCTGGGTTCTCTGGAAGAGTAGTCAGTACTCTTAACCGCTGAGCCAGTGTTTTACTTTCTAAGTAAAATTTGCTCATAGAACTACCAAGACGGGGATCTATTTATTGAAGTTGATACGTTTGTTAATAAGACATCATGGCGGTGCCTGGTAGTCTAATTTAGGGCCGTGTGCATGCTCGACAACTGTTGTCCATCAGAACTCTACCCAGGCTGCAAATTTTCCTTTCCTCCTCCTCCTGTTTGTTGTCCTTGTTGACACATGATCTCACTAAGTAGCCAAGGCTGGCCTGGAATCATCCTCCTGCCTCAGCCTCCCAAGTGCTCAGGTTACAGTCATAAGCCACCACCCAAACAGTCCATAATTTTGCGTATGTATGCGTGTGTGTTTGCCCGTGGAACTTGTGCATGTGGATGACAGACGTCCACATCAGATGTCTCCCTTTATGGCTCGCCATGTATTTGTTTTTATGTGCGTTTGTTTGTTTTGAAGCATCAGACTTTCTACATTATCCCTGGCTATCCTGGAACTCACTAATGTAAACTAGGCTGGTCTTGAACTCACAGAGATCCACTTGCCTCTGTTTCCCAAATGCTGGGTCTAAAGGCGTGAGCCACCATGTTTGACCTCCACTTTAAAAAAAATTATTATTAGTATGTGGGTGTATGATGCCACAATGAGCCACTATGCATGAGCCACCATGCTGCCTCTCCTCTTCAAAACATTATTATTAATATGTGGGTGTATGATATGCATACGTAGGCATGAACACTGCAGTGTCAGGTGTGGTGGTCAGAGAAGAACTTTGTGGAATCAGTTTTCTTCTCCAGCCTCTACTTGAGTTCCAGGGATTGAACTCCGGGCATCAGACTTTCAAGGCAAGATCTTTTACCCACAGTGAGCCACCTTGCTAACCCTTCACTTTATACCCCCCTTGTTTTATATAGTTTATATAGTTTTATATAGTTTATTTATATTTATATATTTATATTTATATAGTTTATTTTACATTCCGACCTTGGTTCCCCTCCCTCCTCTCCATCCAGTCCCTTTATTTTTTGAGACAAAGTCTCTCACTAAACCTGGAATTTGCCCTATTTGACTGGACTGGATGCTTGAGTCTGGCATCCTCTTTATCTCCGCAGTATGGGGATTATAGGTGCAAACCCTATGGGTGCTGGGCATCTGGACTAATGACCCCCTGCTTGTGTGGCCGGCACTTCATTAGCGCCCACTTTATTAGTGTCCAGTTGGTTTTGAGTTTTGTATAATCCAGACAGGCTCAAACTCTTTATGCTTACCTTCACTTTGAACTGCTGATTCTCCAGCCTCCACACCAAACACCAAAATACTGGGAGAGTTACAGCCATGGGTCACCACACTAGGAGAACAAAACATACACAAATGCAGATCCGGTAGAGGGTACCTGAGGGCATCGGACAGTATAAAGCTAGAGTTACAGTTGGTTATGAGCTGCCCCACATGGGTGCTGAGCTCTGAACTCCTGTCCTCTGCAAGAGCAAGCAGTACTTGCTCTCAACTTCTCAACCATCTCTCTCTCTCTCTCTCTCTCTCTCCACACACACACACACACACACACACACACACACACACACACACGTATATGTGTATACAGGGTGTTAATTTGTTGCCTAAAGTAGCTTTCAACTCAGACTTGCAATTTCTTTTTTTTTCTTTTTTTTGGTTTTTTTTTTTTTTTACACTTTTCTTTAAAGTTTATTCCAAACAACAGTCTTCAAGCTCACTGTGGTGGCTGACCACGTCCACGACCAAAGCCTCCTCTAAACTGGAACTCGGTGGCTGAGCCAGCCCCGGCCTAGGCTTTCTTGTCAGCACCAAGGGGCACAGCACTCCTTCTGTAGGTGTCTCTGTCCGCCTCCCCTCTTGTGAATCTTGCCGGGCACTCACCCTCTGGCCCTTTGGGCCGAGGCCTGCCAGTTTCGGGATGGCTGCAGGCGCAGGGTGGCAGGCACGATCTCCGGAGGTAGGTGGAGATAATCGCGGAGATACTGGATGCCCTCATTCGTAAGGTACCAATAGAAGTGTCTCCAGGCAAACTGCTCCTTCAAGTAGCCTCGAGACTTCAGAGACTGCATGGCCTTCATGACATGAAGGTTGGGCACATTCTTGTTTGCCAGCTCTGGGTGTTTGGGCATATGGACATCCTTCTTGGCAACCATCACTCCTTCCTTAAAAAGGAGCTCATAGATGGCAATCCGGTTCTTCTTGGGCATCAACATCGCAGCCTGCGGCGGCTGCAGAGTCCAGGACGGAGGCTGGAAAGCTTTTTTTTTTGGTTTTTCGAGGCCAGTCTGTTTTACATAAGGAGTCCCAGGCTAGCTAGCTATAAGGGGTGACTCGAGAGAGACGTGTGTGTGTGTGTGTGTGTGTGTGTGTGTGTGTGTGTAAGGGAGGGGGAAAACAAACACTACCGGATTGATTTTTTTTTTGTTTTTTTGTTTCGAGACAGGGTTTCTCTGTATAGGTTTGGAGTCTGCCTTGGAGCTAGCGCTGTAGACCAGGCTGGCCTCTAACTCACAAAGATCCACCTTGCTGGGCAGTGGTGGCGCACGCCTTTAATCCCAGCACTCGGGAGGCAGAGGCAGGCGGATCTCTGTGAGTTCGAGACCAGCCTGGTCTACAAGAGCTAGTTCCAGGACAGGCTCCAAAAACCACAGAGAAACCCTATCTCGAAAAACCAAAAAAAAAAAAAAAACCCAAAAAACAAAAACAAAAACAAAAAACAACAAAGATCCACCTGCCTCTGTCTCCCAAGAGCTAGGATTAAAGTTCTGCGCCGTTTTTTTGTTTTGTTTTGTTTTGTTTTTTTGCGGGGGGGGGGACGACAGGGTTTCTCTGTAGCTTTGGGGCCTGTCCTAGAACTAGCTCTTGTAGACCATGCTGGCCTCGAACTCACAGAGATCTGCCTGCCTCTGCCTCCCAAGTGCTAGTGCTGGGATTAAAGGCTTGCAACACTACCATCTGGCTCTCTTCTTTTCTTTCCTTTTCTTTTCTTTTCTTTGTAACAGACCTGCCTGAAACTTGCTTTGTTGACAGCCTTGAACTCATTGAGATCCACCTGCCCTCTGCCTCCCAGGTGCTGGAACTAAAGGCTTTTGCCACCACCGACTACTGGATGGATTTTAAAAACCACTTCTAAAACCATGATAAGATTTGCCTCTTTCCTTCATAGGATCCTTTGGTTTGCTGCTTTGTTTTTTCGAGACAGGGTTTCTCTGTCGCTTTGGAGCCTGTCCTGGAACTAGCTCTGTAGACCAGGCTGGTCTCGAACTCACAGAGATCCGCCTGCCTCTGCCTCCCGAGTGCTGGCATTAAAGGCGTGCGCCACCATTGCCCGGCTCGGTTTGCTGCTTTTTAAGAAAGAACTATTTTGATATTTTTTTTTTTTTAGGCTGGATCTTACTGTTTATCCCTGACAGACCTGGAACCCACTATGTAGCAGATCAGACTCAGATCTGCCTGCCACTGCCCCGAGTGCTGGGAATAAAGGGGTGTGCCACCAGTTTGCTGCTTTTATACTGAAAAAAGTTTCTTCCTAAGTCCTCAAAGCCTTTTTAAGTCGCTTTCCTTCCATCACAGATATACAGGGTGGTTTACAGGCAAGTCTAACTGCCGTTCCAAATTCAACTATTAGAATCGTACGAACGCAGCTACTTAGTGATTATGCTGCCAAGTTTATGCCTGGATCCCACGAGGAGTCCAACTAAGGTGTGTAGGAATGAAATGTTCTACACTTTGGAGCAAACTTTCACTTTGGCAGGATTAGTGGGAGGCTGATGTTCTGGAGGTGGGAAGGCGGAAGAAGAGTGCAGTCAAGCTCATCTCCCTAGGATTTCCGGGCTGAACAGCATGCACCTGACGCCCGCGTGGCACTACCCAGCTGAGTGTGGAACTGGACCTAGCCCAGAACTCAAGGCAGCTCGGGCAACACCGCCCAGCCTAAGTATTCGCGCGCTCCCGGGGACGCGCGCGCGCGCACGCAGGCGTGTCTCGAGCAGGGTCGGGCCTGTCAGGCAAGAAATCTCGCGAGATCTGAGACTGAGATGTGTGTCGGGAGGAGGGGAGTGGTGTCGGGGAAGGGGGGGGAACCTGGGCAGCGGCCGAGCTCTGTGGCTTCAGGGCTTGGAAGGAGAGAGGGAGGGTGGCGAGGAGAGTGAGTCGGTGCCGCCGCCCGCTTGAGGAGAGAGGAGGGGTCCCACTCGTCTTGCGCCCTTCGCGAGCCGAGAGCGCGGAGCAGTCGCGAAACTCCCAGGCCTCTCGGCCCCTGGGGACCCCGCCCCGCCGCCCGCCGGCCCGCGGCCTCTCTTCCCTTTGTGAGCGCCCCCTTCCCAGGGGTGCTGGTGGTGGCGGAGGGGTGCGCGTGGGCCCGCCCGCCGAGGGGCCGCGGCGGGGGACCGACTGGGCCTCGGCTGTGAGAACCCGAGGCGGCCGAGGCCCGGGCCGGTTCCCCCGAGGCGGCGGCGGCGGCTCCCGGCACTTCCCCGCGCCATCTTAACTGAGCACAAGCGTTAAGGGCGCCTCCTCGACCCCGGTTGTCCCCTCGTCCCCCCCCCCCCCCCGCCCCCTTGTTGCAGAGCTTGGGCTGGGCGGCTGGGGGGGGGGGGCGGCGGTCTGTCGCCGGGCCCCCTCCTCCTCCCTCCTCGCTCTCCAGCACCGCGGCCACCGGAGCGCTCCAGGGGTCTGCGCCTGCTTACTCCGCCCCAGATCTGCCGGCGAAGGGGTAAGGGCACCTCTGCTTTGGGAAAGGAAGACATGGAGGGGGCGGGGAAATTCGGCCCACTCAGGCCTCTGGGTGGAGGGAGAGATCTAGGGGTGGGGAGGGGGGGAGGGAGACAAGGAGGGTCTGTGATTCTGTGGGTGGGGTGAAGACACTGGTGAGCTGGGTGCCCTCCTGCTTCTAGGGGCCAGGGCAATTGCATTCCTTTTTCCTGAGGGTCACCGGAAGAGGTGGTGGAAGGGGATGTTTCTAGGAAGGTGTGGCCCTAGTAGGGAGATTTGAGTTGACGTGCACCCCGACTTAAAGGCGCGAGGTCCCTTTCAGGTCTCCTCAGCCTGCTCCTCCTCCTTTGTAGTGTCTGTATTCTTGGGAACGGAGAATGCTCTGGGTAGCCAACTGGATAACTCCCTCGCCCCCCCCCACAGGAAATCTATACCTTCTTCTGTAGGGGGTGATTGAAGCATTTCTGTCCCCCCCTTCCCCCTCTCTCTGTCCTCTAGTCTACTGCAATGCTGCAGAAGTCCAAGTCAGTTTCTTCATACACAGACCCATATATATATACACGCAAGTAATGGCGCTTTCCTTGGGGAGGTTAGTTTTTTTTCCCCTTTGGTTTTAAATCGATTACAGTACTGTTCGGATTTTTCCCCTGAGATATGCCCATGGGAAGTATGACCGCTCATACTCTATATGGCCTCATGTTAGAACAGTTTGCTCGCTCTGTTTTGAGAGAGAGGATGCCTGGGATTGACTTTTGGCACGGCGGTTGGGTGGATTAGTTTTGTTAGGATTTAATAAAGTAATTTTATACCCCTCCCATTATTCTTTCCCCTTTTCCTCTTTAGCTTTTGTAGTTCTTGGAGAATTATTAGAAATTATTATAATCAAACTGTCAGATGATCAGACATTGGCCCCTGGACTGTGACTTTGTAAGATTAATACTGTTTTGCATGACATTGATACAGAAATTTCTGAAAATGATTATGCTACAAACTTTTATGTAGCCGATGTTGCTTCTTAAGGAAATGCAAGGTAATGCTCCCAATTATGCTGTGGTCTGTATCCTGTACTCTCCTGCTCCCCTTTTGCTGCATGTCATACTTGTTTAAAAGAATCCATCTTGTCTGGTTTGTCAACAGGACTTGTTGATTTTGTCCTTAGTAGAATAGAAGTAAAAATAGCAGTTTGGGCATTTTGGTTAGTGCCTTCTGAAATAAATTAGCATTCAGGTTCTGAAGAAGTCTTGATATTCATTTTTTACTTTTTTTTTCTTCCTTAAAGGAGTCTTGATGTACAAACACATCCCCTCACCCCCTTTTTATAGAAAGGGTCTTTGTGTTCAGGTTGCCTTGAACTCAGCAATCTTCCTGCCTAACTCTTCCATGTGCTGGGATTACAAGTGTGAGCCTCCACACCTGACTCCATTTTTTTTCTTTAACTATTTAGTTTTACTAGTGAAATGATTTAAAAATGTTCCATATGTGAATATTAGAGTAATAAAGATTACTAAAATATGTTAATGAATTGTCTTGACATTTTATTAACAAATGATATTTGATGTCTGAACTTAGTGAGTTACTTTTAAGTTATGAATACAAAGATTTAAAGCTGTAGCAGTAGTGTTAGGCATTGATTTAAGGTCTATCTCATGTAGCACAGGGTAGTGTAACCGTGTAGCTGAGGCTGACTTACTGATACCTCTGTCTCCAACTTCCCAAGTTCTAGAATTACAGGTGTCTGCCTGCCACCATCCAGTTTAAACTAAACAAACAAAAAACAAAAAGAAAAGGCAAAACAAAAAACCAGGATCTTGGCTGGGCAGTGGTGGCACACACTTTTTATCCCAGCACTTGGGAGGCAGAGGCAGGTGGATTGTGAGATTGAGGCCAACTTTGTCTGTAGAGCTAGTTCCAGGACAGCTACCACTGTTAAACAGAGAAACCCTGTCTTGATAAACCTCAAACAAACAAGCAAACAAAAAACCCAGAGTCTTTTTGAAACCCTGTCGTAAAAAAACAAAACAACACCAGGGTCTTATTACATAGTAGTAGTTCCTTGGCTGACCTGCAACTTGCTATGCAGGCTAGACTGGCCTCAAATTCACAAGAGATCTCCCTGTCTCTGCCTGCTGTGTGCTGGGATTACAGGCGTGGACCACCATGCTTGTCCTAAATTCTTTTATTTCATGATTTTGAGAAAGCTGTGTTATGTTTTTCTCAAAAATGAAACTTTCTGCCTTACTTATTTTAATATTCACCCTAGTTCATTTAATGTAAGTAGCACCATTCAATTGATTCTTTCTTTTGGTGGTGGAACAAGATTTTGTGTAGTCCAGATTATCTTTAAATGTTGTGTAGCTGAGGCTAACCCTGACCCGAACCTCAGGTATAATCTGTGCCAATGTGCCTGGAATTTGTTGTTTTTGTTGAGGGAGTTTTTTTGTTTTTGTTATTTTGGTTTTTCAAGACAAGGTTTCTCTGTGTAGCTTTGGAGCCTGTCCTGTAACTCTGTAGGCCTCAAACGCAGAGAGATCCACCTGCCTTAGCTTCTTGAGTGCTGGGATTAAAGGCATGCGCCATCAATGCCCGCTGAGGGAGGTTCTTACTATGCAGTCTTGGCTGGCCTTGAATTTGTGGCAGTTGTAGTGACTTAATCTTTCAATGCTGAGCTATTGTGTCAAGCTCTATTTGACTCTTTACTTCATGACATAAAGTGCATGTTGTCCTATTTGCAGGATATATAGTTTTCTCCCCATACAGAAAAAGTTAGGTCATGCTTAATTTTCTGTTTTATGGTTTGTTGTTGATAATAGGTTCATATCATACTAGCAAATAGAAACCCAAACATACTGTTTAGCAAAGAGTGACTATTTTTATCTTGGAAAGATGCAAGAAGAGTGACTTACCAATAATGGCCACAAAGCTTACGGATATACAGGGTATAGGTTTAATTGCTTACTTTACTATTTCATATTAGAATTAAGGCATCTTCTCTATAGCTGGTAGCAGTGGCAAAAGTATGTTGGTGATCAGTTAAAGAAATTTATTATTAAGGAAAGAACTATCTGAGGGTTTTTTCATGACTTCTGATGCTACTGTCAGAGAATACTGAGAGCTGTTAGTCTGAGCTGATTCCAGATTAGTGTGGTGCTTATGTTTCTAAATAGTTCATCCACAAAATGGAGTGTACATCACTTCCTGTTCTTTCACAACTGGCTCTTTCTCTGGATTCCCTTTTAATGACTTAATTTTTGGCATTTTGATATCTGATTTGTTAATTTGGTTATTCTCATGTTTTATAAGTGGAAGAATTTCTAAGAATTAACTGTTTTAGAGGATTTTAATGGAGTACTTTTTTTTTTTTTAAATCTCTTTGTGAATCCTAGCTGGCCTGAAACTCAGTAGGTAGACCAGGGTGTCCTGAACTTGCTGCAGTTCAGCCTTTGCCTCTTGAATTGTGATTGCAGGCGTGCTCCACCAAGACTGGTTTAACTGAATTTGCTTTGTTGACCAGGCTGGCCTTGAACTCACAGAGTTCCTCTTCTCTCTACCTCCCAAATGCTGGGATTAAAGGTGTGTTCCACTACTGGCCAATTTAAGAGTGTCTTTAAAAACAAAATGTGTATGTCCATGTGTGGGATGATGTTGAGTCTCTTGCCTTATTCCTTTAAAGCAAGGGTATCTTGGCTGAATCCAGAGGTAGCTGATGGCCAACAAGCCCCATTAATTCTCATTTCTGTGCCTCCCACAATGCTGGGATTACAGGTGCACATGGCCACAACTATGTTATTTGATTTTTTTTTTTTGTTTTTTGTTTTTTTTTTGAGACAGGGTTTCTCTGTGGTTTTGGAGCCTGTCCTGGAACTAGCTCTGTAGACCAGGCTGGTCTCGAACTCACAGAGATCCGCCTGCCTCTGCCTCCCCACAACTATGTTTTGGAAAATTAAGTTTTGGAAATTTAAACTCAGGCTCTCATGCTTGTTCAGCAACTGCTCTTACCACTGAGTAATCTCACCTGCACCAAGAATATCCCCCTTCCACCACAGAGTTTATCTGTGTTGACCAGGCTGACCTTGAATTTATGCCTGCCTCCTGAATGTTGGAATTAAGGCATTCATCACCATCATTTGACTTCAAGAATATCTTTTTTTTGTTAAATATTTATTTATTTATTTATTATGTATACAATATTCGGTCTGTGTGATGCCTGCTGGCCAGAAGAGGGCACTAGACCCCATTACAGATGGTTGTGAGCCACCATGTGGTTGCTGGGAATTGAACTCAGGACCTTTGGTAGAGCAGGCAATGCTCTTAACCTCTGAGCCATCTATCTCTCCAGCCCCCAAGAATATCTTAATAGTATCAAAACATTGCTTCCATTCTAAAGAATGATGTCTTAAATTTAAACTTTGATGAAAATTACCTATTTTGCTGTGCTGGGGATCAAACCCTGGGCCTTGAGAATGCTAAACAAGTAATCCTTTCATTGAGTTACAGGACCAAATATATGTGCACACTAAATAGGAAGTAATTACTATGTTTTCTATAATTATATATATTTTTTTTGTTGTTTTGTTTTTTGAAGACAGGGTTTCTTTGTAACTTTGGAGCTTGTCCTGGAAACCAGCTCTTATAGACCAGGCTGGCCTCGAACTCACAGAGATTCGCCTGCCTCTGCCTCCCGAGTACTGAGATTAAAGGGGTGTGCCACCACTGCCCAGCTATAATTATACATATTTTTTTATTTATTATGTGTACAGCATTCCTTCCATGTGTGCCCACAAGCCAGAAGGGGGCACCAGGTCTCATTATAGATGACTGTGAGAGCCACCATGTGGTTGCTGGGAATTGAACTCAGGACCTCTGGAAGAGCAGTCAGTGCTCTTAACCACTGAGCCATCTCTCCAGCCCCCTATAATTATATTTTTAGAGAATTTTTGAATGTGGCAATTATTTGCATGTTAATACAAAATAAGTATATCTTAGGGCTAGGGTTGTAAGTCA